ACCTGGGTGGAGAAGACTAATTAATTAGCCTCATCTTTTGGGGGCGGGCTCAAATCACAGGAGGAAGGCTTCTTGTGGTTACTTCCTCCTCTTTCTTTCCCCTGCTCTTGGAGGCAGTGACCATCCCCTGTGCTCTCCCTGTAGGAGGCTACGACGGTCACACGTTCCTGGACAGCGTGGAGTGTTATGACCCAGACACAGACACTTGGAGCGAGGTGACCTGCATGACATCTGGCCGGAGTGGGGTGGGCGTCGCTGTCACCATGGAGCCCTGCCGGAAGCAGATCGACCAGCAGAACTGTACCTGTTGAGCAACTTTGGTTTTCTTGGGCAAAAAATGGTCCCATGAAAAGTACTGTCATTTTTGTACAAAATCAGGAACTAAACGAAAGCCACAGAGCAAATGCTTGTCCACCAGGATGTGAGGCTGGGATGCCTCAGTGTTAGAATGACTACTTGAAAGAAAGACCAGAATGGGAACTTGTGAGCCCATCAGAATAGTCCCAGGAATGTCCAAGAGAATGCCTGGGAGGGGTTTCGAGAAGGGCAGGTTTCTGGGAGAGAAAACCTCACACCCACTAGGCCAAGACTAGGCCTGGGTCCCATACCAGTAGCTGCCGCCTCCCTCTGGAGTGAAAGCAGGTGCTGAGGTCAGGCTAGTTTTTGTTCCCTGTGTCTTTATGATTGGTTCCTAGGGGCCTGGGAAGGAGCCAACTGAGGCCTTGGGGTGAGGCTCTTCAGGAGGTGCCAACCCCAGGATGGGCCTGTACATATAAACCACTGGATATCTTTGTCCTGACAGTCATTTTGTTGACAAGTAACTCTGTAACTTTCCAATGAAAATAAAGAACAAACTAACTAGTGTCTTCTACCTGGACTCTCAGCTTGAGATCTTCAACCTGGGAACAGAAAAGACTCCTCTCCTGAAATGCACTCAGCCTTTGATTTAGGTCTTAGATTTGAAACCAGTTTGTTATCTCTGCCCTTTGCCTCTTGATATGTAGGGCATCTTTCTCCCCATAGACAAGACACACAAGGCTCACTTTGTCTATCACTTTGTACTGCTTTGAAGACAATGACCTAACTCCTGACATTTCCCAGGGATCCAGGAGGTTAATTTCATATGTACACATAGTTTATATTTTAAGGCAAACCACCCCCAACATGCTTTCCAAATTTGGTGAAAATCTATCTGGCCATTTTGGTGCACTTAACATAGACTGAACCTTTTATTTTATTTAAGTGCCTGGTAATTAAAAGGACAAAGGAGTTTTAGGGGAATTTTCTTAGACAAAGGACTCAGTAGCCTGGTCTCTTTTGAACAGTATGTGCGAAAGCAGTATGTGATCTGGATCTTCTCCCAACCAACTCTATTCATGTTGTGGGAGTGGAGAAAAGAAAAACGAAATATGGTCTCAGCTATAGGCATACCTCAGAGATATTGTGGGTTTGATCCCAGACCACCACAATAAAGTGAGTCACAGCCATTTTGCTGGTGGAGGAACTTGCCTTCAATTTGTAAAAAAAATGCAATGCCAGGGAAGTACAATAAAAGGAGGTATGCCTGTATTGGGGAATTCACAGGTTCTTCCAAGTAACTTAGAGAGGAAATATCAATCCCTTCCCGGGAAAACCTGGTACCTCCCATCTCTGCAGCTTCACTCACTCAATTCACCTGAAGGCTACCTTAGTTGTGCCCTGTTCTCTAGTCCTGGTCTAAGGTTTTTATGGAACAAGGAAATAAATCTATGTTGGCTGCATTGAATGAATGAGGGAGGGCTAGGAATTGTAAACTTAATACCTGGATAGCCTTTAAGCATTTATAAAGTGTTTCAACTCATTTGGTCCTCAATAGTGCTCTGAGCTAGAAAGCATAAGCCTTATTTCTTTTGTGTGTGTGTGTGTCTTTTATAATCCCCGCCAGAAGATATTTTTTCATTGATTTCTTTTTTTAGAAAGAGAGTAGGAGGGAGGGAGGAGGTGAAAGAGAAAAACATCAATGAGAGAGAGGCACATTGATTAGTTTCCTCCTGCATGTACCCCAACCAGGGCTGGGGATGGAACCTGCAACCCAGGTACGTGCCCTTGACCAAGAACTGAACCTGTGACCCTTTGGTGTGTGGGCTGATGCTCTAACCACTAAGCAACACCAGCCAGGACTAAGCCTAAATTCTTTACAGATGAGAAACAGAGGTTCAGAGAGGTGACTTGCCACAAAGGTCACATGGCCACTAAGTAGTAGAGTTCAGATTCAACCTGTAGGGTACACCAAAGCAGCCATTCTCAGCCAGAACACACGCTGTACCACCATGCTTGTGAGAATGGATATTAAAGAGCTCCCGTGGGATCAATGTGTATAGCAGTGAAAATTCTGGAAACAGTGATCTAATCTAGAGATTTGCATGTAATGCAGTTGTTAGAAGCCACACCACCTACCCTAGAGTTGAGTTTTCTTTCAGACAGTTTAGAGCCCTGGTATTGAGTTCAGGTTTAGCTGATTTAGTAAAGCACTTCAGGTATCTGCAGTCAGGTGAAGCTTCTTATCTGCAAAAATGGTACTTGGACACCTACTGGGCACTAAGTTCTATGAGAGCAACTAGAACAACAAAGGTATTTACATTAACTTTCTAAATCCACAAAACAACTTTTAAAAAATCCTGCCCAGCTGTCGTGGCTCATGGTTGAGCATTGAACTATGATCCAGGAGATCGCAGTTCAATTCCTGGTCAGGGCACATGCCTTGGTTGTGGGCTTGATCCTCGGGTCATGCAGGAGGCAGCCAATCAATGACTCTCTCATCATTGATCTCTCTCTCTCTCTCTCTCTCTCTTCTGCTCTCTGAAATCAATAAAGACATATTATTATTTTTTAAATTCTTACTCTCCTAGGCCCCAAATGGTCCCTGCCCTCATGGCAATTCCAGCTTAGCAGGGGAGTAGGGTAACCAACTCATCTCAGTTTACCTGGACTTTCCCAGTTTGGACACTGAAAGGATGGCATCCTAGGAATCTCTCAGTCTTGGGTAAACCAGGACCATCGGTCACTCTTAAGGTAAGCCAGATGCTGAAGCAATATTACAAACATGTTGAATGACAAACAGATGAGGGTCACAGTTAAATTCACATTTTAAAAGTCGATGGCTCTGGGGGCCTGGTGGAAAGGATTGGCTGGGGATGAAAGCGGATGGGGAAGCAAATGGCGGTTGCAGTAGTCAGGTGAGAGGATGGCAGTTTGGATTAGGCAGGTAGCTGTGGGAGCGGAGAGAAGTGGAATCTACAGGTGAAGAGACTGGATCTGAAGGGTGAAGAATCAGGAATCATCCTGGTGATTTCAAGCTTAAACAGCCGGGAGTAGGGAACCTTGGAGGAAGCTGCAGTTGTAGAAGGGAAGTGATGAGGGCTTGGAGTGTGTCAGGTGTAAGGTGTGAAGATACAATTGTTTTAGGAAAGTGCACAGGTTTCTGTAGCCCTCAGTCTTTAATGATTCCAACAAATAGTTCTTGAATGGTTGTTCTGTGCAAGACATGAAGTGGGGTGCTCAGACACAATGGGGAGCAAGCAGGACACTGTCTCTTTCTCATAGAACTGAAATTAAGAACATAATCACATAAAGCCTACATAATTATGTTCAAAGGTAGCTCTCTGAAGGACAGGAGCATGACCTAGGTCAGAGAAGCATTCTTCAGGAAGTGGTTTTCTCACTGAAATCCAAAGGAACTGATTAGTGTAAAGTAGGTGAGGGAAAGGGGCCAAATTCTGGATAGAGGAAGAATCAAGTGCAAAGGTTTGTGGCATTGAGAATCAAATCTAGATAAAACTCTGAGAAGAGGAGCATGGTGCCAGAAGAGACTAAACAAAGGTTGTCAGGGGGTCAGGCCATACAAGCCCTGTGTCCACTCTCATTTCTCTTTAATTGTTAAGTATCTAAGTATTCTTTTATTAAAAATTAGAACATTACAGATAAAACTGAAATCTTACTATATATCCATTTCAGCCTCCTCTAAGTCTTAAAAAAATAATTTTCAGTAACGTTTTATATGTTTCCTTCCATAAATGGCCTAATGTTGCTTGTATTATTCTTCAACTTGCTTTTTCTCCCTCGGTAGGACTTCTCAATCTATTTGTAATGTCACATTCCTTTTATCAGCTACCTGGTGCTTTTTTTTTAAATTTTAATTTTTATTGATTTATAGAGAGGAAGGGAGGAGAGAAACATCAATGTACCTTGATTGGCTGCCTCCTGCACACCCCCCATTAGGTGAGTAAGCCTGCAACCAGGGCATGTGCCCTGACTGGGAATGGAACCGGTAACCTTTCAGTGCATGAGACGATAGCCAATCAACTGAACCACACCAGCCAGGGCCCTGATGTTCTGCTTTTATCTCTTTCACTATTGACATACTTTTAGGTTGTTCCAGTTTCTCAAAATTACACAAAAGGCTGCAATGCTCACTCTTAATCATGTCTCCTTGAGCACAAGTGTGTATATTTCTCCAAGTGGATACTAAGAGGTGGAACTTATTAGATCATAGGGTAGGCACAGCTTTATTACATGCTGCTAGATTGCCCTCTAAAGTGGTTGTAACAGCCTGGCTGGACGTTGCTCAGTGGTTGAGCGTCGACCTAGGATCCAGGCAATCAGGGTTCGATTCCCGGTCAGGGCACATGCCCGGGTTGCGGGATCGATCAATGACTCTCTCATCATTGATGTTTCTCTCTCTCTCTCTCCCTCTTCTTTCCTCTCTCTGAAATCAATAAAGATATATTTAAAAAAATAATAAAATAAAGTGGTTGTAACAAATCATATTACTGATGTATTCTAGAAGTTTCTTATAAATTTATACACAAATTTATCACTTTTCCTTGATGGTTCTTCCCTTTTGTGTATTATTTAAGACTTGTGGTTCTTGACATTTCCTATAGGTTCCTTATCCATTTATTAAGTTACTGTCTCCTGCCCATGGATTAATTGTTCTGCCTAAGTTAACCAGGGTTGGTTTTTATTGATTCTGTTAGAACCAAGAATCCTGACTAATAGAGACATCAGGAAATTTAAATATATATAATTTTCTTCAAATATGTTTGTTTTGTGTTTGTACTGTTTTAAAATCCATCTGGAATTTATTGTTATGTATAAGAAATAGGAATGTAATTTTTATAAGGATAGCCAATTACTGCCAAAACATATATTTTTCAAACCATTTCTTGACTAATTCATTTTTTCTATAATTTTAAGATGATATCCCAATTATATACTAAATTCCTATATATGCATGGGACTCTTTATTCTGTTTTTTGACTTTTTATTCTGTTTTGTTGACCTAAATATCATTTTTTTTGCACCAATTTCATTTAGTTATCAGTTTTATAACCTGTCTTAATATCAGATAGAACAAGAACCCACCTCTATTTTTCTTTCTTTAAAAACAAACAAAACAAAACAGTGTGGTTGGTGTGTGAGAGGTAGTGGGATCAGTGTTCACATTCTCCAAAATAATAATAATAATAAATTTAAAACAAAAACAAAAACAAAAAACTGGGTTATTATTGCATATTTATTTCTCCCTATGAAGAACAAAATTCCATGAAAAATTTTTATTGGACTGCATTAAAATAATTGAGTTGGGGAGAGATTTTTTTTTTACATTAGATCTCTCCATTCATGAATTTAGTATACCTGTCTATTTAGTGAAGTCTTCTTTGCTATCCTCAGAACACTTTTATAAGTTCTCCACAAAAGGCTTGCAATGTGTTTATAGGAATTTTATAAGGTTTTATTGCTATTGTCAATGGGATCTTTCTTTACTCCTGGATCCTTTTAATTTGGTATTTCTCCTATATATGAAAGTTGTCAATACAGATCTATTGACCT